GTGTCTGTCTGGTAAATTGGTAAATGATTATAGAAGACGTATCTGTCTGGTAAATGATTATAGAAGACGTGCCTGTCTGGTAAATTGGTAAATGATTATAGAAGACGTATCTGTCTGGTAAATGATTATAGAAGACGTGCCTGTCTGGTAAATTGGTAAATGATTATAGAAGACGTGTCTGTCTGGTAAATGAATATAGTAGACGTGTCTGTCTGGTAGATTGGTAAATGATTATAGAAAACAAGTCTATTTGGACAACGACAAAGAGATCCTCTCTGTCTGGTACACGACGCATTCTGCGTGTTTGGACGGGGCGGTGCCGCTGACTGGTAGACCTATCTTATTTTCTTTTCCTTCATTGTTTCTGTCTTGTTTACCTTGCTTTTTCTCTGCATTAAGATAATTGTTGTTGTACACGTGTTCTTTTCTTCACTAAAGCTAAACCAAGCACAGATTGTTTTAAAGGAGGGAAACATTTCGTGATCATTCCCGCATTTTAACCCTATCCTTACGCCTTGGGATCATTTTGTACCCCAAGGGTTGTATTCTTCACATTTTAGAATGCTTTTAGTACGAAGATCTCTGTGAAGCTTTCAGGTTTTCTAAAAAAATATTTTTGACCGATTGCTGTGCAAAGTGTACGGATCGGATTATCGAGTAAATTTCTTCTTTGAAAAGTGGTGGCACAGAGTTCCCCATTTCTTATGGATACGATAGTAAAACACAACGTGCGGATAGGGCTTTAGAGAAGTCATCCACAGCGAAAACAAAGTAATTAATTCATCTCATAATGGTGGCGGCATCAACTTTTTGTCAGCCACTAAAAGTTGTCGAACCTTTCTTTGTAAAGACATCAAAGAACATGAGCCTTTATCGGAATCTGCGTATGTACGTGACATTAAGCAACGCCGGTAATGCTGCAATTATTATTTCTCTACCTTAGAATTAAATAGTTCTATCTGACATTTTAGGCCGATTTTAGTTACTAAGACCACGTGGTTTTAATGTTCTATCTGCTCTGGAGACGCACAGTAGAGTCTGAAATGAAGTCATGGAATCATTTGTGGGGAACGCTGACCAATATGGCCCAAAACAGACAGAGCTGGAGATCCTTTGTTGCTGCCCTAAACGCCAGATGGCGTAATGGGTAGTAACAGACTGCTCTGTCAAAATCGTAAGATTATTCGGAGTCGTTATCAAGATATTCCAAGAATTGCATTCGCAAAATCGTGACATGTTAAAAACTCGAAATTCAAATCATAAAACTAGCCACTGAGCAGATAGAACTATGTAATCCAAGGGTAACAATTAGACCTTCAAGAATGAAAAACTCAGTGAAACTCAGGTTTATTTACAGAAACATATTATGTGTTATTCCCACAAAACACAAAGAATAATTTGATATAAAAAATTAAGCACTGATTAGAATAATTTCAATCATTTGGCGAACAATTCATTAAATATTCAGGATGAACACAAAAGGACCACAATTAGCA